TTTCCACACAACAGTTATTATTCGATTTTAACAATGGTTTCGTGGTACACACGTTTCTAATAAAATCGTAAATGTTAAAATTATTATTTTTTCTAAATTAGATCTCCTTTAATTTGCTTCAATACCCTGTTATAGTGTTATATCACACCCTCTTTTTCTGATCCATCCATATTTTATCCAATATATTCGTATTGATGGTAAAGTTACTCGAACTCTACCTGTTAGGGTTCTAGCTGTTATACTTAGTTTAACATATGTACAGATTTTCGTACTTTATAGGGAAGGTACCAAGTCCAATATTGGTGATCCGCTTAGTTTTGTTCCAAAATATTTCTATTGACAATAATGTTAGATTCCTTTTCCTGAAAAAATTTCGTGGTAAAACCTTATATAGCGATCTATGAAATGAATTTTCAGAAACTAAGTTTTTTGGGAAGATAACAAGTCCGATATTAGTAATCCGCTTAGTTTTGTTCCCAAATATTTATATTAACAATAATGTTAGATTGTTAGATTAGCTCCTTTTCTTGGAAAAAGTGGTTCGGAAAACCTTATATAACGATCTATGATAGGAATTTTCAGTGAATCAGTTTCTTGGACGTATATCTCGAATAACAACGCTCATCTAATTTCGACGAAAGCCAATGACAGATAAGTAGGTCCTGATGATTAGTATTCTCCTCTTGCTCTGGTTGGGGTCGAAAATTTTACATTGATCAGATTAGCTTGCATTCCATAGCGATTTCCCCGAGTGGATGTAGAGTTTAACCTTGAAAGAGTATTCGGTTATGAACTTTTTATAGTCCAATATGGTCATTAAAATTGTCAGCTAATATAGCCCTAATTGCCTTCTCGCTGTCGTAAAATATGTTTGCCCCTGTTAATGACATATTTAATCCAAACCTATTTTACACTTCCCATGATAGCTTCCCCCGCATTTTACCTTGATGAATCTTGCCCCATTTTGGTGTGATAGCAATCTGGGGGAAAAGAGGTGCTACAAGTACCTTGAGTCTGCTGGGACTATAAACTAGTAGTGTCAAATGTATTCTCAGCCTTTCTTTGGAATGATTTGACATGAGGTTGAACCAGATAATCACATAATCTGGTACAACGGGAACTGGTAGCACCAGGGCAGAGTTTCGGACTTTGTATTGTCCCGGTTATTGGAGAGATCCCTTCGGGGTGCACCTACACAGAGGGAAAAAATATACACGCCTGGTACCAAATTGACACCAGCAATGTTGACAAAGCAACGTTGTCAACATTGCAACAATTCGTTGTCGAGATCTAAATTTTATACACATCCGTTGTCTTAAAGTTAACAAACGTGGTAACTTTGCCTTGTCAACAGTACATAGTGTTGTCGTACGTATGTACATATATACTTGACATGTTATTGAAAAATTTTGTGTCAATTTGGTACCAGGCGTGTATATATATTTTCCCCTCTGTGTAGTGGCTGTGTTTTAAATCCAAATTTGGGCGAAAAGAATGTTGCAAAAAGAACTGATGCACTGTAAAGACTATAAATTCTCGATAATTTCGGTGCTATGGTTAGAAAACAGATAACCCCAAAGAGGAGTGACTGTGTGACTAATGAGTTGAAAATGAGTTGATGTTAAGTGAATATGATAAGGGATGTATGTGGGAGTGTGCGAGACTTTTGTCAAATGTTTTTCTCAATAAGTGTGTCGGATGAATGAGAAGTGTGCTGAGTTGAATGGTAATGAATGTAGGACATCTTATATAAGTGATGCCATTGCATTTTCCTTCCTTGGCCGGGTATGTTCAGGGTTTACTCTCTTCATAATAGATTTACTACAGAGTGTTCTCTGTGATTGAGAACAAGTCCTCGACTTATTTTATGGATTCATGTTTCAGTCTACCGATTACGTCTCCAGGTTCTGTTGCCGACTAAACGAAGGCCATCCCATCTGAGTGGTTGCAAACGAAAGTGATGTTTTTGCATCTCGGAAGTTAAGCAACAAGTACAGCAATGGTCAGATATTAGATAGCTCGAGTACTTGAGCGAAGTGCTTGCACATGGATCGGCAGAACCATGAGTCGTTAAAAAAGCTCACCCTGTGGATAAAAAAGAGTGCCGTGAAATTAGGCCTTCATGACAGGTGTTCACGTGAAAGCTTCTCCGGGTCATGTTACCTTAACGAACTTTCTCATCTGGGTGTGATTGCAATCCGGGAAAAAAAGAGGTTCTAAAAGTACCTCTAGGACTATATATGACCTGAATCTGGTACCACGACAATCGGTAGTAACTTGTGTGTTGTCGCGGTTATTGTAGAGGTCCCTTCGGGTTACATGTGGTGTGAATGTGGCTTAGACCCAAACTCAGGGGAAGAAAATATTGGTTTAAAGACTGATACACAGTGAAATCTTTATTTTGGAATAAGTTCGGTCCTGTTGTCGAGACAACAGATACCACGTAGAAGAATGACTTTGTGATTAAACGTTTGAAATGAGTTGGTGTCAATTGTATATAATACGTCATGGATGAGGGCCTCATACACACCCATAATTGCTAACCGTAGTTCGGTAGAGCGGTAATTTTTATTAATTTAAGAGAGCATTTCATGACACTGCAATATCCATATCTTTCTTCAGTGATAAAAGGCTCTCTTAAAACAAAATTTTAAAAAATTTTTAAACTTTTTAAAAAGAAAGTCATAAACCTACTTATCATATTAGAATAATTATTCTATTAGATGAAATGATAATTCCCCAAATATTTGACTTATTAGCTATTGCTAAAAAATTCTAAGTGCATTGTTCCAATTCAGTTCTATAGAATTAACGCAAATAATTATCAAATTTTTTTTCTTTCATTATTATCTCACATTCTTTGAAATATAATCAAAAAAAATATATTTTATAATAAAGTCATAAATTTAACATTTTTATTGCACACACATACCAAAGAAAATCCCAAACAAAAAAAAAACTGTATTGAAATAAATCAAATAATATAATTTTGATTGAATTTTACGTTTCTTTAAATAGAATTTATATTTGTGCCAGTTTTTACCAGTTTGTATTTAATAATGTGCATTTTGTGTGTGTGTGTGAATAATTGTTATTTGCATTAACTTTAAAAATAAATTTAAGTACTTAACACACAGAGTTAATGTTATTTATTACATATTTAATATGTTTGGAAAAAAATTAAATAATGCGCAATTTATTTGGAAGACACACCACCTGTATTCTTATTTAGATGATAAAGTGAAACTTTTATAAGAAAATTGTTGTAACGAGAAAAGGATCTTATTCTATGATCAGTTTAAAATCAGCCATATAGAAACCAGATGGAATGAAAATCTTTAAATGGAAACTCTTTGGTACTTTTTCATTCTTACTGCTACATTTTGAATTTGTTTTATAATATAGAACCTACATGGGGGGAAAAAGAAATATACACGCCTGGTACCAAATTGATACCAAACTGTTTATAAATTTTCAATACCATCCGTTGTCAAAGTATATACATACGTACAACAACACTATGTAATGTTGACAACATAGCAACAATTCGTTGTCGAAATCTAAATTTTATACACATCCGTTGTCTAAATGTTAACAAACGTGGTAAGCTAACTATTGACAGTCAATCCGTTGCCAATAGTGAGCGAATGTGTATAAAGTTTAGATTTCGACAACGAATTGTTGCAATGTTGACAACATTGCATTGTAAACATTACATAGTGTTGTCGTACGTATGTTTATACTTTGACAACGGATGTTATTGAAAAATTATAAACTCTTTGGTGTCAATTTCGTACCAGGCGTGTATATTTCCTTTCCCTCTGTGTAGAAACATAAAATCAGTAAACTTCTTGATATTATATCGTTCTTCAACTGGTACATTTTTGAATCTTTTTATACCCTATACCACTTTTGTGGAGAGAGAATTGGTCCTATACCCATCTTTAAGTATACCAATGTCCGTCTGTGTGTCTGTCCAAGTAAACCTTGTAATCAAACTACAGGTCGCAATTTTGATGAAATTTGGTACATACATTACTTTTGACTCAAGGTCGAACCCTATTGATTTTGCTTGATATCGGTCCATTATTTCACCTAGCCCCCCATATAACCGGGCCCCATATATTTGAATCAGCTCATAATTATGCCAAATATATTAATATCCCTACAAAATTAGCGGCACTTATTTAATCCTAGCCCCTTGCAGAGTCCCTCTGCAAAATGCGTGAACGTCGTTAAAAATATATCAAAATTAAGGAAAAATTCGACATAGATGCTTTATTGTTAAAAATAATACACATTTTAGATATACTCATAACTGAGGTAGGGTATCATATTGTCGGCCATGCCCGACTTTACTTTTTTTAATCGTTTAATATTACACTTGATTAAATAAAAATCTATAAAAGGGGACTTTCTGGAACTTTAGGTTTTCCAACTGCTACTTTTCGAATAAAACATAAAATCAGACAAATATATAGAATTCTAATTAAGTGACAGTTTATAGTAGTGGACTTTTTGCTACTTTGAAGTGGGTAAAACTAAAATGTCCTAATTTTTCCTGTAAATTAAGGAAAGTTCAGTATCGCAATGGGAAAAACTGTCATATATTTAAGCGTTCGAATTTATAAAGAGTTTCAGACACCCATCTGCTTTTTGCCGAATTGGTGAAGGTGTATTTAAATTTCTATGTATGTAATTATGAACCTCTTTTCCTCCTTGTTATCCCTAAATATATGAAATTCCTTAGTGGATCCAAAAAATGCAAAATGAAGAAATATTTGACTTCAGATTAGGACACAAATCGGATATCTGTTAGTATATGGAATTCAATGAAACTGAATCGTATAGAACATATTCCTTTTGTTATAAGTATAGGTTAAAGAACCCGATATTAATACAGGTTACTAATTCGGTGCTTATAATATTCCCATCTCTAGTTTCTAACTTTATAAGTACAATTTTAATCTTTCTATTTTATCTTTTTTTTTCATTTTCAGGTCATATTGCATTTAGTGCTTTGGATGATACATCTCATTCAGTACACGTTTACAGCATTAATGGCACCAGTTTAGGTTCCAAATATGTATCGGGTCGTGTTACAGGTTTGGCCACAGCATCGGATTATTTAGTTGTAGCCGATGATGCGGGTGATATAACATTAAGTCGTTTGCATGGGTAAGTTGACATGAATTTTAAAAAATATATAGATATTTAATTTAGAAATTGGAACGTGATTTTGCAAGTAAAATACTTTCAAATACTTTTGATTAATTTTGATTATTACACTAAATGTTTGATTCTTAATTAAAAAATATATAAATTTTATCATGTTCTCTTTCATTTTAAAAAGTTCAGTGGCTTTTTGCAAACAATTTTCTATAAAAACAGGTTCTATTCAAATAGGCGGCAGGTACATTCGCGTGTGTAATATATAGTAGTGATGACAAAATAACGAATATTTAATAGAGATTCTTTATATTAAAAAAAAAAATTAAGAAAAAAACACAACAAATTTTTAAACCGTGGACTGGAGTATACACTTCAAAAAATCTTCAAAAGATTGAGCTGAATTGTCGTTAATATATTTAGTTTTCAACGGGTTTATAGGTTTGGAAAAAAGCCCATTATCGCCACATTCGACTTATATGTGTACTTGTATTAAGTTAAATAAAACTCAAACCGTTCAATACTAAATTTATCCGCTTTTTTCCGGAAATTCACCCATTAATGAATTAAAAGTTACTTCCCTAGCATTTTTCAACGAGGTCGTCTACTGACACCTAAAGTCGGACATGTCATGGGACACGTTTCTTGTGTTCTTTTATAAAAGACTCCACAACCTTTAACCAGACCAAACTTTTGGAAAGTTTTTGTGGATTTATCTCTCGCGGTTTGAAATTCTCATTATTGTTTGAATACCATTTAAGAGCTTTTTCTCTATAGAATCATGACGCCAAATCGGTCCAGAAATATGAAAAAATATTTCTGTGTTTATGGATTTTGATGTCAGAAATGATTGGTTTCTTTTTCCACTATGGTAAATGGCTTGCTATATATGAAACATCTCGTTATTATTCTTGAACATTACCTCGTTCATCAGCCCTATAAAAATCTTGACCGAAAGTTGTGAAAACATAAGTTTCGTCTTTCACACACACTTTTTGTATAAAAGGTTACCTAAATTTGTTCTCCCAAATTTTTGGCTTCTAAATAATTTAACGAATTCATCTGAGACTTTTTGAACTTAATACGACTTTAACCCAGCATTATGTTTGGCTTCGGGTGCAAAAAAATCAAAAGTCTTTGGTGCTCTTCAAAACAGTTGTTCGACCTATTTTGCCTTATTAATATCCTCTAGTCCTTTTTATCCCGATTCAGGTTTTCATTCAATGCGGAAGTCTTCCTTTAGAACTTTTGAAATTTTTAGGAAAGTTTTTTTTTAAAGTTGCAATTATTTCCTCACATAATTTTTTCTCGGAGCCCATTTTTTAGTTGAAAATTAACGATTTAGAAGAGATTATAGCTGAAATACGTTTTAAAGCTAAAGTGATCAAAAAAATTATAATTTGTTGGACCTGATATATGTTTTGGCTGATAAAGATACAGTTTTTATACCCTACAGCACTATAGTGAGGAGGGTATTATGTTGCAATTATTTTTTATAAACGTACTTTTTTCTCGGGGCCCATTTTTTAGTTAAAAATTAACAATTTAGAAGAGATAATAGCTGAAATACGTTTTAAAGCTAAAGTGATCAAAAAATTATAATTATTTGGACCTGGTATATGTTTTGGCTGATAACGATACAGTTTTTATACCCTACACCACTATAGTGGTGAGGGTATTATGCGTTTGTGCTGATGTTTGTAACGCACAAAAATATTGATCCTACACCCACCTTAAAGCATACCGATCGACTCAGATTCACTTTCTTAGTCGATTAAGACATGTCCTTCCTTCCGTCCGGCCGTCTGTCCGTCTGTCCGTCTGGTTGGTTGGTTGTCCCTGTAAACCTTGTGCGCAAGCTACAGGCCACAATTTTCAAGATATTTGAACAAATTTGAGCCATACGTGTTTTTCGGCACAAGGACGATACCTATTGAAAGTTGTTGACATCGGTTCATTATATCATACAACCTGACCTTCCGATTTGGGGTTTTTAACTCATAACTACGTCAAATATACTACTATCTCTCTGGCACAACTAAGTTTTATATAGGCATAAATGATCATGCTGATTTTTGTAACGATCGGCCGTCGTTTGACCCTAGAGCCCCCATACAAACACAACAACAAAATTCAATATAAAGTTTCTTTATGAAAATAAATCATTTTTAAAATATACTCATGATGTAGGGTATCATATAGTCGGCCATACCTGACTTTACTTTCTTACTTATTTTCTAACCAATTTTTTGAGCCGGAGACTACTGTGTACTTTTTTGAAAGAAGATTGTCTGAATGTCAATATCGTAAATTGCAACAGGTTTTTAGCGTTTCGAGATATATTTCGGATAATTCCCCCATATAAGAGCACAAAGACTTCAGAAGGTCCTATCTATTGGCTTCTTGAGAAGCCAATCTTCTTTGAGATAAATTCCGCCAACATTTACGACAAACTTATATATAACAACTTCTGATAGTTTTCCCCATAAAAACAGTTTTTTTAATTGTTCAGATATCGCTTATATTAGCTGATATATCATCCCTTGAAATTTTTTAAACTAGTAAACATAAGATATCTTAAAAAAGTCTCCAGATATAACAGAGTTTGAACCTTTATATTGAAGCCAATGTCTAAGACTTTAAAACGATATACGTTTTACTAAAGAGCTCTTCAGACGATCACACTTTACGTACGACAAGTCTAATGAAAAAGTAAAATGAAATTCCATACGTATGAGAAAAAAGAGAATAAAAGTCGTATAAAACAATAACAAAGTAAGTTGGAAACAGTTCGTTCACTTTTTTGTATGTGTTTACATAGAAATACATCCCTGATCTAATTTCAAAAAATGAAGAGAGCCATACGACTGTCAAGTTTTTCGTACTTTCTCTCAATGTGTGATAATTTCATTACACATTGCGTTCAGACCTCAGATCCCATCCGTTCTCTTCTACACAAAATTTTGACAGATCATATTACTTGTGTGCTCGTGTGAAGGGGGCTTAATATAACATCTCGAATATGACGAAACATATAATGAAATGAAACACTTCTGAGACCATATTTGGCGTAACTACGATTAGTGAAAAAATATGATTCAGATTAGTTTTCTTTTTGTATTCGATGGCAAAATTTCAAAAGTAACGAATAATTTGTAAAGTGTTTGAGTATTTGCCATCCCTAGCAAACACAGAGTTCTATGGAACAGTGTGCTGATGATAAAATCAACACGTTTCATAAATTATATTTGAAAAAAAATTAACAATTTGTTTCTAAGCTCTTAATAAAACAATTAGCAATAAAAAAAAAAATATTTAAAAAAATCACCTTATCAAACAGTTTTTTTCAAAATTACTCGAGAATAGTAGAGAAAATAATGTTAATAATTAATATGATTAATATAAATTTATTACTAAACATCGACAATAATAGTTGTAGTAATAAATTAAATATAAAATAATTAAAACAATTCTATATAAAAACCTGTATTTTGTACTTGAACTTGTATATATATTAAATAATCTATAAATTAAAATCAATCTCATCTCTTTGTACTTACAGCCTAAAGCCGGTATTTGATATACCGTTACATGTGCCCATACAAACCGTAGTCGTAACACCGGGTAATACACATATTCTAGCCCCATTACGTGATGGACGTTTAGCTGTGGTAGCTGTTCATTTACCTGTAGGTATTAAAAAACACTCTGTTCTTAATGTATAGGTATAGTAGGAGGATATACGACACGAAGGAATTATTTCTTGAGAAAACGAATTGTTTCAACGAATTGTTTTTAAATTTATTTTTAATCTATATAAATCATTTTTTAATTTATTTAAACACAACTAATTAATTAATACTTATGCAAAAATATTTAATTAAAACATTTTAAAAGTCATTAGTTAGAAGGAAGGGGGGGTTTCATTTGTTTTTGGTGTTTCCCCGTCTATATTGTTCTAACATTTTAGTAAAACAATTAGTGTAACACACTTATTAAGTTATATTTTTTTATATAATATTGATTTATACAGTTTCAGTTGAATTTTTTTAATTAATAACTTAAAAAGGAAAAAAAATATTATGCAACAAATATCAAACATTTGTCAATTAGATTTGTAACCAAAAACGGAAACAGAACGCTTTATATTCAAACTCCATCCATTTCTTTTGGATCGTTTTTCCTATTTCTTTTTAAGGATTCTAAAACTATTTCAATATATTTTTAAACCTAAAACTAAAATCTACAGCAAAACAATTAATTAAATCACTTAATTGGAACAAATTCAAAAGTCACGTAAGCCACTGAATATTCATTTTAAGTTGCAGTTTGTAATAAATCATTTTTTTTTATAGAATGATTAAAATTTACTGATTACATTGCTCTTAATACATATTTCCGGATCATTATAAAAATACTAAACATTGGAATGAGCATTATAAATGAATACGAATACCAAGATTTAGATCAATACAAATGTAAAGTAAAACCATCTTAAAAAAATTCCCATAAATTTAAAAAAAAAAGAAATAAAAATTTCCGTTATTACTACTTTAACAAGTACTACACTAAGGACGCGATTGACGAGGCAATTAATAAATTTTAGTTATCACTTGGATGTGAGCCGAAACATCGAGTCAGGCTTGGAAAATTAAGATTACAGACTAGACTAGAAAATAGATAAGACTATAAACTAGACTAGAGAATAGACTATAGACTAGACTACAAACTAGGCTAGACTACAAACTAGACTAGACTATAGACTAGACTATACTATAGACTAGACTCTAGACTAAACTGTAGACTGGACTATAGACTAAATTATAGACTAGACTATATCCTAGACTATAGACAAGACTATAGACTAGACTATAGACAAGACTATAGACTAGTCTATAGACTAAAATAAAGACTAAACTATAGACTAGATTATAAACTAGACTATAGACTAGACTATATACTAAACTATTGACTAGACTATAGACCAAACTATAGACTAGATTATAGACTAGACTAAAGACTAGGCTATAAACTAGACTATAGACTAAACTATAGACTAGACTATGGACTAGACTATAGACTAAACTATAGACTAGTTTATAAACTATAAACTAAACTATAGACTAGACTATAGACTAAACTATAGACTAAACTATTGACTAGACTATAGACTAAACTATAGACTAGATTATAGACTAGTTTAAAAACTATAAACTAAACTATAGACTAGACTATAAACTAAACTATAGACTAAACTATTGACTAGACTATATACCAAACTATGGACTAGATTATAGACTAGACTAAAGACTAGGCTATAAACTAGACTATAGACTAAACTATAGACTAAACTATAGACTAGACTATAGACTAAACTATAGACTAAACTATTGACTAGACTATAGACTAGACTATAGACTAGACTATAGACTAGACTATAGACTAAACCATAGGGTAGACTATAGACTAGACTATAGACTAGACTATAGACTAAACCATAGGGTAGACTATAGACTAGACTATAGACTAGACTATAGACTAGACTATAGACTAGACTATAGACTAGACTATAGACTAGTTTATAGACTAGACTATAGACTAGACTATAGACTAGACTAAAGACTAGACTATAGACTAGACTATAGACTAGACTATAGACTAGACTATAGACTAGACTATAGACTAGACTATAGACTAGACTATAGACTAGACTATAGACTAGACTATAGACTAGACTATAGACTAGACTATAGACTAGACTATAGACTAGACTAGACTATAGACTAGACTATAGACTAGACTATAGACTAGACTATAGACTAGACTATAGACTAGACTATAGACTAGACTATAGACTAGACTATAGACTAGACTATAGACTAGACTATAGACTAGACTATAGACTAGACTATAGACTAGACTATAGACTAGACTATAGACTAGACTATAGACTAGACTATAGACTAGACTATAGACTAGACTATAGACTAGACTATAGACTAGATTATAGACTAGACTATAGACTAGACTATAGACTAGACTATAGACTAGACTATAGACTAGACTATAGACTAGACTATAGACTAGACTATAGACTAGACTATAGACTAGACTATAGACTAGACTATAGACTAGACTATAGACTAGACTATAGACTAGACTATAGACTAGACTATAGACTAGACTATAGACTAGACTATAGACTAGACTATAGACTAGACTATAGACTAGACTATAGACTAGACTATAGACTAGACTATAGACTAGACTATAGACTAGACTATAGACTAGACTATAGACTAGACTATAGACTAGACTATAGACTAGACTATAGACTAGACTGTAGACTAGACTATAGACTAGACTATAGACTAGACTATAGACTAGACTATAGACTAGACTATAGACTAGACTATAGACTAGACTATAGACTAGACTATAGACTAGACTATAGACTAGACTATAGACTAGACTATAGACTAGACTATAGACTAGACTATAGACTAGACTATAGACTAGACTATAGACTAGACTATAGACTAGACTATAGACTAGACTATAGACTAGACTATAGACTAGACTATAGACTAGACTATAGACTAGACTATAGACTAGACTATAGACTAGACTATAGACTAGACTATAGACTAGACTATAGACTAGACTATAGACTAGACTATAGACTAGACTATAGACTAGACTATAGACTAGACTATAGACTAGACTATAGACTAGACTATAGACTAGACTATAGACTAGACTATAGACTAGACTATAGACTAGACTATAGACTAGACTATAGACTAGACTATAGACTAACTATAGACTAGACTATAGACTAGACTATAGACTAGACTATAGACTAGACTATAGACTAGACTATAGACTAGACTATAGACTAGACTATAGACTAGACTATAGACTAGACTATAGGACTAGACTATAGACTTGACTATAGACTAGACTATAGACTAGACTATAGACTAGACTATAGACTAGACTATAGGACTAGACTATAGACTAGACTATAGACTAGACTATAGACTAGACTATAGACTAGACTATAGACTAGACTATAGACTAGACTATAGACTAGACTATAGACTAGACTATAGACTAGACTATAGACTAGACTATAGGACTAGACTATAGACTAGACTATAGACTAGACTATAGACTAGACTATAGACTAGACTATAGACTAGACTATAGACTAGACTATAGACTAGACTATAGACTAGACTATAGACTAGACTATAGACTAGACTATAGACAGACTATAGACTAGACTATAGATAGCCTCTAGCTAGACTATAGACTAGACTATAGACTAGACTATAGACTAGACTATAGACTAGACTATAGACTAGACTATAGACTAGACTATAGACTAGACTATAGACTAGACTATAGACTAGACTATAGACTAGACTATAGACTAGACTATAGACTAGACTATAGACTAGACTATAGAATAAGTAAATTGACTAGACTCTACACTAGACTATAATCTAAACTATAGACTGGATTATAGACTATAGATGTTATTATAGACTTTACTATGGACTAGTAAACTCTTCCATGATTTGGATTTGCATTTCTCGGCCGATCGTGGCCTAAGTGTAGTTATCATGGTTTTAAAATGTATATTTCTTTATTCATTCAATGACAATGATAGCGATTTTTACAAAATTCCAATACTTATTCCGTTGTAATTGATCTTTGGGGTGAATTTGGACGTAGAGATTGATAAGACCGAAAGAATTACTTTTTTTATTTAAAATGATTTTTATAAAATTTATACAAAACACACTTCTTAATCACGTGACAGCTGTCAAATTAGATCAAATTTACTTTATGATTACAGATGAAATATTTTTGGACTTATTTCCTAACAAATAGTAACTTTTAAGAAAGTTTCTCAACCAAACATTAAAGTTCAATATTTTCCCAAAATTCTTTAGAAGTTTGAATTTAAATTGGAATAGAGATTTTAATTAAACTACAAAACTAAATTCTTTTAAAGTTCTGTTTTCGCAAAAAAGCAAAAATGATTATCTCCATAGTATATATGACATTTTCTCTTTGCCAATAATAATTTTAAAATTTTTTTTTTAAAGTCCCCCATATTTCATTAATGAGTCAGTTCTTAAATGTTTGATAATGTTTGTTTGACGTTGAATATAAATTAAAATGGAAATTTTAATAAAAGTAATATAAATTTCTTTAATAATTATTATAGGAAAAATAAATAAAAAAGAATGACTAAATTTCCATTACAATGCAGTATTTTGGTTTTACGTATAAAAGAAAAAAAATTAAATGTCATACCCGTCCTCCGTCATAGAAAAATTACTACAGTACATACAGACGTTAATGTTTAAACAATTAAATGTTTCACATTAAAATGATAATAATTGTTAACAAACAAAAAAGTATTTATCTATTTTCAAAAGAAAAAAAATAATAATAATAACATTCCACAAAGTCATTTTGATTATTTTTATTATTTAATAAATTAATTTTAACAAAATTTAGTCATTCCTTGGGAAATTTTTTTTTAATGAATAAGTTTTGCGTTCATAACTTTTTTATAGTTTCTTTAAATATATTTTAGTTTAAATTTATTTTAAAATGTTTTGTGTAATTGCAATTGTTTTATTTAAACTTAAAATTTATTAAACTTTAAGTGTAGTATTTATATGTAGTTTTTTAAAACCATTTTAATAAATATTTATTTTCTATAAGTGAAAAAATTTGTATGAAAAGGTAATAAAAGAAAAATCATTGCAATTTGTTATACGTATTTGCATAAATTTTTAAGTATTTTAATACA